TTGCAATCGACGCTACAAAGATTATCAGTGATCATCGAATGGCGTTTTCAGGTCCGTATTTCATACAATGTAATTCGGTTAAAAACTAAGTATTTGAATTTGATGTTTCAAAAGGGTTCTTAATGTATGATTTTCACCTTTCGCCAGGCGCACAACCTTGAACAGTGCAATCGATCGAGCCGATTTCACACAAATCACCCGAATAATCTGTAATTTTATACAATTAATGAGCATAGGATCACTGCTGCGAATCTGTTCAATCACTGCGAAAAAGAACAATTTTTAATGCTCTCTGCAACAATAGTGAAGAGTTGAATGAACAATTTTCGATTCATTCATTAGCTCACATGAATATTCGAAGCACATCGGCAAACTTGATGCAGCAAACCTACTTTCTGGGCATTTGCAGTGTTGGCCTTCCTCAACATCGGTAACACACTGACCGCCATTCTGACACGGCAAGTGGCAAGGAAGTTCGGATTCACAAAGAACACCTGTGAACGATGGCAAGCACAAACATTGAAACGAGCGTTCCTCATCATTCACCTCGCACGTTCCACCATTCAAACAAACATTGCTCTGACATGCTCGCGCTGCTTCATTCACTGTAAATGAGCATTATTTCATGATGAAACTTACATGAGACAATTATTGGAGAATGCTTATTTCATCTTAACGATTGTTTAAGTGACCTCACCATCGTTAAGAAGTCTGATAGTTAGCTCCTTCAAACATCAAAGTGAAATATGCTGGGAAATGATCACCAAGAAATGAGCGTTGCTCACTTCACAATGAGCCTATTGTTAGTGTGCGTATGGGGACAAANAATAGAGAAGACGACGATAGAAATGATTACGATACATTTATGAGCGAAAGTGCATGCGACTTCTTAGAGTTGAGTGAAGACATTCCTATGCAAAGTGAACTTATTGGTGTGCGGTAGGCGACTCATGGCGATAGGTGGTCATTACGTTTGCGTCAATTTTTTTTTGGTCATAAATGACTGATCAAATGAATTATTATTGTTTGCTAATTGCAAGCAATTAGCAGTGTCTCTTTATGGGGAGATGTACGTACCTAAGACAGAATAAATGAACAAATATGTATATTATGGGGAAGGTAAATAAGCTACAGACATCTCTTACAATTAAGAGGTCAGTGCTGGTCTTTGGCTATGGCAATAAGTACTAACATTTCAAATATCCTTCATCTTGTAGCATTAAATGATATTTTACGATATTTGTGAGTACTAACAACAAGTTTCAAGATACTCTTCAACGATCTTTGTGAATTTCCTAAGTAAACTATAAAAACAGTTGCAGATTTGAAAATGTAAGTGGAGATACTGTCAAGCTCTTTATAGAACTCTTTGGAACGCGAATTGTCTTTGTCGCTATGGATGTAGTTCCACAAGAAAAGCAAAGGGTTGTAGGAAGTTATCGAAACTCCGACATTGCTTGAATAAGATATGCTCAAATGCAAACTGAATACCTAATTAAAATTTGCATCGGGAACATGAAATGATACGGAGCTCCAACTGATCATAGTGACAAATTCATTGCTTCGATTTTGAATATTCGCACGATGGCAGTTTGATAATTGATGTTTTTTTTTTGATCCTTTACTAAACTCCGAGATCACCGATTAGATAATTGAGACGAAGATTAAGAGGATAATTGTTATGTGAGGCAGTTAACTGTCGTTGACTGTGTTTAAGAGAACGGTGAAAGTGACAGCTAAACTGTTTGTTGGTGACCTTGAGGCATGAATATGTTTGTCAGAAGTTATAAATATTGATTAATTAAATGTTCTCTGATCTCGTTCGTTCAGCAAACTGTTCAAAAAACAACTCTGGTCGCTTTCTGTTCGCTGGTTCTAAAACTCGAAGACACTCAGTTATGCACTTTCTGAACGCGCAGCAAACTCATGCGCAAAATTTTGAATTATGTTGGAAAAAATATTGTACGGTTTTGTAGAATAATTNAAAAAAAAACGAGATAGAGTCAAACGCATAATCGGATGCATCAAACTAATAATTACTTGTTGACGGATATACGAAATCTGCGTAAATCTCATCAAATCATCGCATGCATCATCTGACTGCAATCGTTTTTCAAATAAAATATAATTGAAACGGTCATTTAAATGCTTTGCGCCACTGATGGAGACTGTGGAATAACAGAAGAAGAGAAAAAAGATGTGAAAATCTATGCGTTAAATGTTGTGTGCGAGGTGGACGTGTTTAAGAGGTTCGATTTCTAATGAGTTACACGATTTTAGTGGTTTGGTGCACGTGTACAGTAAACATGCATAAATAACGTGAAACTTGTTTGTAATAAGGATATTAACGTTAGAATGTGTGAGTGTCAAACTGTGCGTTAAAATGAGTGATGATTGCAATTGAAAGAAGATTATCGCGAAGTTAAATCTATTATGTTTTGAATGCGATTGTGACTGAACGCATTCAATTTGTATTTATATTCCATTCATCTCAGAATTGAAACACTCAATTATGCATCTTTTCAATGTGGTCATTTCTCAATGTATTCAAACAACTGGTGCGATAAATAGAGAAGCATCACACAGTAATAATAATGGTAATTTATTCATGTGATACTTAATTGAACTGAAATTGAAATTGATAAAGCATACAGTTCCAACTGCAGTTGGAACTGTATGCTTTATCAANAATCATTTGATCTCATAATGATGGAACAAGCAAGAAAACGAATTGCAGTCGCATTGTGTATAAAGTGAATGGAGACAACATTTCTTTGGAGCACTACGAAAGAGTGCCGTTGAATGAATCAATCAAATTTTGTATCCGCTAAAATGTCTTTTACGATGGCATTTTTCGAGTGATTTGACTAATGTATTTTATTAAGCGTTCACAGAAACCGCAAAACCACAAACATACATCATCTGTGGTCAGCGGTACGAGAGACGTACAGAAATATGATGTGATCGTGAATATTTCCATAAGATGTATTATGCGCAGCAAATTACTCATCAAATGAAGCGAATCTTTGCAATATGGAACATGGTAATTTTATTGCATAATTCATCGGTTGATGTTCACAAATATTCAGCAGTATAATAACTGACACACTAAAACGTAATGCCATAATGGCATCATAATTTCCGCAACAACCTAACCTCCTTTTTCTAATCAAACCCCCAAAATAACACAAGCTATGTCATAATCAATTACGATTTTAAAGCACTGTGCGCTGTAAACCCTCAAGGCACGAGTTCAGGACATAAAATATGTAGTATTTGATTAGAACGTTTCACCGCGATTGATTTACGGCATTGCAACAATACAAACCGCACGTGTCATAAATACTTTTGAAATTGATGGGACATCACAAGTTAATCAATGATTTATGGCATTCATCACTGACATGAGAGCAGTCACATCTGATCATGATGACGACATGTGTAATTGAATGTTGATACAAACTCAATAAGATATTAGTTGAGAAAAACTAAATTGATACTAAACTATCTCTCAAAATTATGAAGCTTTCATTGGATCACGATTATGTTCGTATGAACACAAAATCAACTTTAAGCTTCAGTTTAAGCAACTTTCATGATATTCCTTCATGATATTCGTTTGGTACGAATTATTTCATTGTGGATCTTTTTATCATTGAAAGTTTTGCACTCATTAATGAACTGAATGAATCAGTGACGAATATTAATTGGGAGAGATAACTGCATAAAAAATATCAAGAGATATGACGAAAAAAAAATCAATGAAAAGAAAATATTCAAAAAAAAAACCTTTTACAAATGATGTCGAAGTGAGAAGAAGAATAATATCAACAGCAATCCGCATGGCAACAACGTGATGATAGCACACTTCCGAGTGACCTTCAGATAGAATCGGTAACGTTTAGATATGACTCGATGGTCAGCAACAGTTCTTGTCGATTAATTAAGAGGGCAAAATCAGTGATGTGAGGTAGAGGATGGTTGATGGATAGATGAATGGATGGATTATGATTGTGGTAGGTATTGATGCTGTTGCTGTATTGTACTGGTATTTACCTTTCGTCTATTAATAATACATCTCTACATACGCATAGAGATGGATTTATAATAATGGTATAGATGACCTGTGACCACTAGCACACACACAGTTCTGAACTGGAATGATGACAAACTCTAAATGAAAAGACAAACTAATAACGGTCGCGTTTCACTAACAATACATTCCTTCTTCAACATCTTACGTATCGCAACGAAATATGATGATAAGGCTTACATCGTGAAAATGAAAATAAAATATCCGCGAGTTTGTACAGTTGGATTCGACAGATGTTCATTCACTGACTATGTATTTTACTTCAGCTTTCGTGGAACTGCTCATTGACAGATGATGACTGATCAGCGAATTAGTGATTTAATTTGATGATTAGTTGATAATGACAAATACTTGACCGGAGAAGTGCACTCAGTGCTAATGCTGCTGATATATGGAGAAACACCAAAGAAAGTCGAACATCAACGGAATGTATAACCGTAGTGAATCTACTATGTCATTAGCGGAACGCTAAAGAGTCTAATGTCCTAAAGTTCATTAACTTTACACGTGCACGGTCATAAGCTGGTCATAAAGTTTGCACG